ATATTATTCAGAGAGAAGTTATACAGATTTAGTACTTTTCTGTATTTTAAATTTATATTTATAAAACAATTCCAAAGTATTTGTACATGTTCCCTTTTCCCTTTTTAGAATATTTCTACATTTTACATTCATTTTAAATAATTTTTAAACACTTTATTCAAATAAAAATACCCTTTGTTAGGGTACAAAAGAAGGCACAAAGGCGCGTATCTTGTCTGGCGGATTGGTTTTCAAGAACGGGAACAGGCAACGCAATTCAGACAATCAACACTTGAAGAAAATGCTATTAAAACAGATTTAATAAACTATAATGATAATAACATACTTATACCTTAAATAAAATGTAAATTATTTAGGATTATGATATAGTTCAAGACCCAACAAGTATCTAAACCAGTATATATTCTAAATCAGTATTTAATATAACTATATCCTAAATAAAATGTAAATTATTTAGTAATATGGATAACGTTTAAGACCCAACAAGTATCCAAACTCATATAAACTATTTATACCTGTAAGGTTATTTGAAAAAAAGTAATACCAACTACCAAGTACCTTTACTATGTTTACCAAATATTTTTCAAGGTGCCCTACCAACTTTGTTTTAGAGTTTAAAAGGTTTTAAGCTCCGTTTTCATGGTCAGTCACCTGGACGCATTTCGGTTTTCTTTTCTTTTTGGCCAAGAAAAGAAAAGCTAGCTGCTGCAGGAGACAACAAGGGGCAGCTAATTACAAATCAAATGGCAGGGCGGACGTCTTACCAAGAAAGAGAGATCAGCTAATAGCGAAATTAATCAAATCATCAGGGGGACAGACAGGTAGACAGGAGGAGGATACTCCTCCTGGCTTTTAGAACATCCGAGCCAAGAGTTCCATCCTAGTTTCCTTAAGCCAAGTTCAATGCACGTGCCTAGGCACAAGCATACTTATACCACCAATGAGATACAAAGATACAAAGATACGACTGCTGGCAGCAGTTGTTGTTTTTTGTTTACTTTTTCCATTCGAGGCTTAAACAATTGGCCGGAGTCGGAGTCGGAGTCAGAGCCAAAATAAAAACCAGTTTGAGTTTGGTTTTTCAGCTTTTTGGCTTGGGTTGTTTCTGTAGTTCGTGGAGGTTCTCTTGAGGCGCACAGGAAGGCGCTCTTAAATATCGAACTGCTGCTGCTTCGGATACATCCGAAACTAAAACTGGAAGGGAAACCAGTTTTTATTTTTTCGGACAACTGGCCAGTGGGCACTTGGCCAAAAAGGAAGCCTTCTGCCTTCAATGGGGGTGTTCAAAAGTTACAAATAAAGATGCACAAAATTCAATTTAATATGCAACTAAAATATACTAGAATAGGAAATGTTTGTTTAATTTTTATTTTAAGAAGTTTCCTTCGTTGTTTTTCTTGGTTTTCGGGTTCATTTATTTAATGGGCAAACACTCCACCCCTTTCTTTGCTTTTAATTCTTTTACCCAGATAATAATCACAACATGAAACTATTTTTGTGGCACTTAAAATGAGACCCATAAATCTTTGTTCTTTTCTTTTTACTTAGGGAAAACCAAAGCACAATAATAAAAATATAAAAAAGAATCTGGAAAGAGAGAGCAATGACATCGTTAAATTGCAGCTAGAAGACGGGTGTGTGTTCTTCTTACATTTCGTCTGATTATATTGTTTAGTTTTTTTGGGATTTACAATAATAAATTCAGTCAAAATGAAAAAAAAAAAAAAGTTTTTTGGGGGGTTTATTACTTTATTTAGTTAGAAAAGTTGGCTTCTCTTTTTGTAATAATATAATATTGTAATGACAGTAAATAGGCTTTTCTCTGTATTTCTCTGTCCCTCTCTATATCTCTATATCCATATTTCTGCCTCTCCCTCACTCTCGCTCTCTCTTTCTCTTTTTATCTCTAACATTTTCGGTATGTCTATCTCTCTTTATGTATCTCTAGAGATATCCCTTTCTCTCCATTTCTCTCTGCATATCGCTCTGCGTACTTCGTTCTCTCCGACTCTAACTCTCTCTGTTCTCTTTACTCGGGGACTATAAATAGAGGCGCCGCAGCAGCTCTGGCCTCATTCTGTTCGCTGCCTCCCCACTGTTAACATCGATAGTGATAGTGATAGTGATTACCTTTCGACTAAATTCCCTAAATTATCATCTGACCAATGCAATACTTTTGGATAACTAAGAAGAAGCTCACTCACTCACTAATACTCTTCCAGGGTATTATAAATTTAGTCAGAAGCTTGTAACTATGTGAAGCAGTCATTTCCGACCCTATAAACCATATATATTCTTGATCAGCATGAAGAGCTGAGTCGATCTAGCAATGTCCGGTAGAAAATTAAAATTTTGAAATTTTTTCCAAATTTTTTAAGGGGTTTTTTAATTAAAAGAAACCAAAAAATTTGACAAAATTTCAAACATTATTAATTGTAAAACTTAATATGCAAATTTAATAACCTTGTAAAAACTAGCCCAGAAATGCAAACCGATTTGAAATTAATGCATTTTTGGCTTAGTTATGATAATTGAAACACCCCAATTTTACTGTAACTGCAAGGGTATACCCACTTCGGCTTTCTTGCTTATTTTAGCCCCTGGCAATAGCCATAAATTCAACACTTTTCCTCTTACTCATTTCTTACTCAATTCTTCTTACTTTTTTTGGCCACTTAAAGAGACATGTTTTTAATTACAGCAAGGCCAACACATCATCCATCGCAGAGGCGTTGCGTTGGCACGCGGCGAAAGTCAAAATGCTCGCAGGAAAAGGATTCCAGTGTAATTAATTTCTGGAGAACTCCAAAAGAAAAAGGGGTAAAAGCGATAACCCGAAGCGGTGGAAATTGACAGGCTAATTTATTGTAACGGCAACTGACAAGCTCCCGCAATCGCAGTCGAAGTTGGAGTCGGAGTCATTCCCACTTTCATTGTCTTCCTCGCCTGATAAATGAAGATGAAGGCGACCTGATTTTTATTGTTATATCCGCCACGTTTATTTTCTGGAGGAGTTCCCCAATGGTTACCCTTGTGGCTGCCTCAATGACTGGCCAGAATTGGCAGACTTAACGGCAATTTAAAGTGACGCCTCTAATTGATGTTCCCCCAAAAGAAGAAAAAAATGAAAACTGAGGGAGAATCCTCATGAAGAAGATATTGCGCCCTAAATTTCGTTGAAGCTGTCAAACAAACTGAGACAGAGTGTGTGTGTGTGGAGAGGGTGGAGTCCGCTCGCATTTTCCATTCCATATTTTCCCAATTTCCCAATCTTATCTGATGACACAAATGAGCAATCAAAAGAATCAGCTTGACATCTGCGGGCTGTCGGCGAATGGGAAAAGTTGTTTCAACAATTATTGCAGCTGCCGCAGGAGGTCGGTTCAGGGGTTAAGGTCGCCATTTGTTTAGATATCTAAATCAAAATATTTTGTGACAGTTGATGAACACAAACAAAAAAAGATACCCTGATAATGAGAGCTAAAGGATTGCCAGAAGGTGTTTACCACATTCCAATCTCACACCTTTTATCTTATTAAAACCCAAAGGAAATTTTGGGTTTTGTATGTATAAGTCTATAGATTTTTTAAATTTACAATAGGTCTTTTGTAAGTCATTCCCTCTATTCATGTACACCTTTCTTTATCTTTTACTAACCAAAAGATTTGTTTTGATGACTCAAAAACTCTGACACAATCTGGAAATCAAACAAAGAGTCTCGTGAGGTTGATAAAGAAAAATGTGGTGAGATATCTTCCTGTTTCAAGTGTAAATTGGAAAATTTGAAGATTTTATAGCTACTTTTTATTTAGTATATATTTTATTTTATATATTCATTTACTGCACTTTTCCCTTAACTTACTTAGCATTTCCCTTGGCAGTCAAATAACAGAAGACAAACGTTTTTAGCCAACTATGTTAGTATTTGCCAACCACAGACACACATTATTGGGAATTCGCAGCCAGTCAATAGACATGGACTGTTATTTTTCCAGGTGCCAAGTGACATTAGAGTTGTGTGGACTTTACTTAACCATATTTCCCCTTCCCTGGCAAGTATTTATTCCGGCCACACACACCGCACCTGAGTCTGAGAATGTGCGTAGCTCCCAGATACACATTTTTTTGTCGAGTAGCTCTCACACTCCACAGGCGGAGATGCTAAGCCTGGTCTGCTCATTAACGGCTTGGAAAAGCAGAAGAGCCTGCACTCCAGACACGCACATACAATAAGAAATGGGGAAAATAAAAGGGAAAGAAGCCAGTTGGCACCGCCAGACAATGTGTCAAATAAGGCCTGACTACAGGAAAAAGGAAAAGCGTTGCAAATGCAAAACTCGAAAACTCGTGTGATAAAACCAAGGGGCGATAAGTGAGAAAGAACAAAAAATTGTTCAGATACAAAAGAGGAGCATTTCGGAGGGATCCCCGGGACTTTGTGGGGAAGTCCCTTCACAGTTGACAATGACATTTGCCTGACACGGGACTGGCAAGGAAGTCGCCGCCATGGCAGTCAAGGCTAGCCTCAAGAGGTCCTTCAACTTGGGCTCCCAGCTGGGGTGTGATTATTTTTCATTTTGAAAGTAAATGTCTTCGGGGTGTTGAAGTTTTTTAAAAATCAGATAATATAATGTTCACAAGTGAAGAAATAGAACGGCTTAGCTAATTTCTTGGTTTGTATTTGTTAAAATGAAGTCTTAGATAGTTCCCAAATTTATTTTTATAAACCAAGAAGATTAATGAAGTCTTAAAAATAGTTTTCAACTATCTCCAGGTGAAATTTCATTAGTTAAAAGATAGATATATTATATATACTTTAGTTATTATATGGGTAAAGTCAATATCCTTCAATATTTCTATAAACATGATACCAATTTCTCATACGTTTAATCTTTATATACATGCTCGCTAGCTTTTGACTCAAAGCTGGCTCTTCCTTATATTCTATTTCATTATATATTATATTTTTAATATAATTAAAAAGCTTTTTTTAAACTCACTTGGATTATTGTTGGCCTCACGCCAATGAGCAGCAGCTCTGCAGCCAAATGTGGTTCTGGATATTCCTTTACAGCAACTCCACTTTTTGCCAGACCACAAACCGGGATGATAACGATAGGACTTGGGAGTATTACTATCCTCGCAAACTGAAAAGGATACGAATAAAAGGTTATAATAATCATAATATCATAATATAATAATCAAGAAGAGGTCTTTAGGTGGAAAACCTATACTCATCTGCTACGCCTGCTCTTTATTTTAACCAAAAAACAGCTGCAGTTCGTCTCCATCTCTTGTTTTTTGGGTCATTACCTTGTCGTATGGCACGGATCCACTCGCTGCGCTCCTTTTCGCTGGGGGCAATCACATAGAGTGTGTACTGTGGCACCGCTGAACGGAAATTCAGCTGACCCTCGACTCCGTTTCCAGTTCCTCCTCCGCCGATGCTGCCTTTCTCCAACAGCTGCTGGGGATTCGCCGATGCAGAGATCTCACAGTAGCCCACTTGGAACGGATAACCCTGGATGGATGGATTGGAAGAGAGCACAACGTTAGTTAATCAAACTCCAGCTACACCCATCGATTTCTGGCCACTCACATCCGGTGCCGAGGGATCGCCGCCTTCCCCGCTGACAGTGGCCTCCTCCACGAGACGAACGCCCTTCAAATGGATGCGTCCACGTTCGCGTCTCCGCTGAAAGTGAAATGAATAAATGGGAAAGTTGTAATTAAACTTGGAAACTATAGTTAAACTCCAACTATAAATGGATACTAAATGGAAACGTTTAAAGTTCCTTCTCAGATCATATAACAAACTAGATGCATAACGCCTTAGTCTCAAGAAGGATTTTATTTGAATTTTTAAAATATTTTCTTATAATCGAATTAGAAGGGGGGTCAAAAAGCTAAATATTCTCTTAACCCAAATATAAAACCAACCTAAAATTCAATTAGTTACAGTCCTAAAACCCATTCTCTTATAATAACATAACAATTATAACCCAAAATAAAATTAACCATTATAGTTCTGCTCCAATTCCACTCTAATTAAAGGCCAGACACAATTAATTTTACTAATACGGAAGTCTGCTTTTCGATTTCTTCTTCAAGTGAAAAAATCAACTGAGACTCTATACATTAGCTTCTTCTTCACCCATCATCATTATCATTGGAACCATTAGCAGCTCCATATGTCTTCAAGTATTATCATCATCTTCATCACTCATCATCATCCGATAAAAACTCGCACATTAGCAGCGCCAATTTAACGGATCGCCTTGTGGATTTTCCTGCGAGTGCGAGTTTCAATTTCAAATCTCAATTGGCCGCCAAGAGTTTCAGTTTTTCCCGCTGCGATTTCATTTTCATTACAAATTTTCAAGTTGAATTTGAATTTCTGCTGGCTCATGGTTCCGCCTTCCCCGCCTACTTCTTTCTCATTCTCGTTTAACCCAAATAAGTTTTTGGCCTTTTATTCACAAGATTTGTTTACACAAAAGCAAATTCAAATGGCACACAGAGAAAATTCATTCAAAAGATCTTTGGGTTTTAATTGGAAATATTTAAATAAAGAGAGAGAGACAGTATTTTTTAATTAAGTTAGAAACTTTATTTTAAAATAGATCTCTTCATCTTTGCATGAAAAATTGAATAGAACTATAAAAGTGAAAGGAACTTTTGTTTTATTAATTTATTTCTTTGTTCTTTAAGTAAAAACATTTAAATTTTGTATCAGAACTGAATTTTATGGTAATTTCTTATTATTTTTCTGCCAGTGCACAGGCTTTTGGCTTTTTATCAAAACTTCAAGTTGCCGAGCAGCTAAAAAGGAAGTTCAATTTCTTTTCTTGAATTTCAGTTTTAGTTTATTTTTTCCTCCCCTTCCTTAAGCTTTTGTTGATTCTTTTTTTATGTGTGCGTGTATGTGTTTTATTTTTTATTTGTTATTTTCAAATTGCTGCTTGTTTATTTGAGGTCTTTGTGTCAACGCTGTCGCTGTGTTGTTGATGAGTTTTTTATGCTGTTGTTGCCTCACTTTGTTGTTTGGATAGATCTCTTTTTTTCTGGGTTGCCGCGATAAGTCGGGGCCAAAAGTTAACCCGACAGACGACGTGCTTATCTGTCGGTCTTAAAATTTCACTCTCTCGATGTAATCCCCCGGACACACTCCCCCCACACTCTGGGAGTTATGTCTTAGATGGCAGCCTTTGTTGTTGGCCCAAAGTCTGAGTCAATTAGGCCAATTAAGTTGACTTAATTGAGCTGGCAGCGCTTTTAGGTCTTCCCCACCGCCAATTGTTGCATCGTCTTGGCCGTTTTCCCTGGAAGCCAAGCCATCGCTTCCCGTCAAGTGTCGGCACACGTGCAAAAATTACCCCTGGCAAAAAGGACGAGGACGAGGACGACGCCGGGCTCAAGTGCCGTCAAGTGGAATGCCAGGCCAGGACGATGCCGAAAAAAAGGAGCTAACGAACGGTAGGGATAAAAATTTAAATGGCGCACATTTTTCGGTCCCTCCAGTTAACTTAGTTTATTAAGCCTGTCATGGCCTCGTGAATGATATTATGCCTCTGCCTTTGAGGCAAAAAAGGGCATATCGGTTACTGGAAAGAGGTTTTTAAGGAAATAAAATATGAGTAAAATTATTGAAAATATGCACTGAGCTTGAACTTTATTCTTTCCCAATTTTGTAAGTACAAAATAGCTCTATAAATCACATTTTAAGGCTATTTAATCTCTAAAAGTTGACATTTAGGATGAATAAATGACCAATCCATAAAGTATTGATTTATAGTTTATTGTTGACTTCATGTCAAAAGCTAAGAATCAATTCTTTCTATAGCTTTTTTATACCCTTGCTGGGTTCTATAGTTTTAGTCAGAAGCTTGTAATAATGTGAAGGAGTCATTTCCGACCCTATAAATCATATATATTCTTGATCAGCTAGAATAGCCGAATCGATTTAGCAATGTTTCAAAGAAAATAAATTTTGAAAATTTTTTCTTAAATTTTTTTGTTAAAAATTTGTCTTGTCAAAATGTCAAAATTTGACAAAATTTCAACTTTCTTTAATTTTAAAACTCAGTATGCAGATTTGTTAACCCCATAAAAACTAGCAAAGAACAGCTTACAGAATTGAAATTAATGCACTTTTGGCCTAGTTATGAGTTTTTTAAACTTTGATTTGTTGATCAAATTTGTATATAAAAATATTAATAATATCGACGAAAAAAATTTTAGTCAGAAGCTCGTAATGATATGAAGGAGTCATTTCCGACCCTATAAATTATATATATTCTTGATCAGCATCAAAAATCCAATCGATCTAGACATGTTCGGCTAAAATTTAATTTTTTCAAAATTTTGAACAATTTTTTAGGGGTTAAAATTGTCAAACAAAAGGACACAAAAATTAATTTTTTTAAATATTTTAATTGAGTATGCAGATTTGTTAGCCTAATAAAAACTTGCATGAGACAGCTTTCCGAATTGAAATTAATGCTTTTTTGGCTTAGTTATAAGTTTTTCAAAATTTGATTTTCATTGCAATTTTATCGATTAAAACGATGGGAATATTTTAAGCTTAGTTAGGATGGATTTCCGATTCAATCCTATAATGTAATTGCAAACTTTGTTTTCCCAAAGTTAGCTTCCTTTAATGATTTATTACTACATTTTCATATTCCAGAAATCAGAACAAGCTTGCATTTTGCGAAATTTAAGGTTTTATGTTACAAAAAGAAAATCCAACCATTCCCCTGATTAAAAAAGCTAAAGCACTGACCTTTTGCCCCCTAAAAATACCACAATTTTGCTTCCAAAAGCATATTCTAAATTACATCTTCTGTAATTCCCAATTTCAACTCAAAAGACTGCCTTGTGGATTATTAGCTAATGCAATAGTAGTCCGCTAGCCAAGTGAAAAATTCCACATAAATGAAGAGGGAGAGTGGGCCGCTTCTCAATGGAAGCCAACTGAAAGGAAAGGAAATTGAAGGAGGTGGAGGAAAAATAGACCGACAGTTAGATGACATCCGGCGTCTGTCAGGTTTGCTGCTACAAATCCAACCCAGTTTCGCCCAGACGACGATGCTTCCTGAACACGCCAACAACAGCCATGAGCCGGCGGAGGAGGAGGCGGAAGAACATGTCGTGCCACTTTCCCGTGAATAGCCAACTGCGAAACTGAACAGAAAAATGAAAAACTCGAAAACTGAACAGAAAACTGCAAACTGAACTGAACCGAAATGGATGTAGAAATGAAAAGTAGAACTCTAAACATAACTGCCAAAGGAGAGGAGGCATGACTAGTTATGGTTACTAAAGCTTTTGATAAACTTTTTGCGGACGACATGGCTTTTCCTCTACTTTGAGTTGTTCCTGCTCCCAGCTCCCTGCTCCCGGGGTCAATGAACCTGTGTGGAGCAAATACTCAATGTGTATCCCCTTTGATACCAAAGGTTGCGCGAATGTTGAGGAACACATGTCCCATTCCCCAGTCAAAGTCCCATAACCATTCCCATTCCCATTCCCAATTCCCAACATGTGGCGAAATAAAGATGCACAAAAACAGCAGCTGCTTCTGATTTTTCACTAAAAACGAGCTAAAAATTGCCTTGGCAATTAAATCGAGATCTTACAAAAGCGGGAATGGAAATTTCCTTAAACTACAAAACGAAAAGAAAGGGAACTGAAACTGGTTTGCCAAATTCTGGCGTTAAATGCGTTATAAACGAAATGGAAAGGCCATGGCGAGTGAAAGTCAATTAGGGCCACATTAATCAAACTGATTAACCAAAATGCAGTCGAACCTTTTACGAAACCACCAATGCCTCTGGGGGAAAAAATAAATAAATCCAAACAAAGAAACCCATTCAAAGTGCGGATAGAACCTAACCTGAGGTTAATTCTTCTTGACATGGGAAATCTTCGTTCTTTCAACTTCAACTTTACTTAATTATTCCTTCAACTTGTTGAGAGACTTGTGTATTCTTGCATAATTTAGCAGTCAGAAAATGTTAAGACAGAGATATGCTCTTTTAAATGGCAAAGGAATTTCTTTTCTTTTTTTCCCGGCAAAAGGAAATGGCAACAATGGGACCCCGAAATGTAACACGAGTATGCATGCTTAAAAAGGACTCACACAACAGGTTGAAACATGAAACAACGTGCACCTGCAAAGGGTGTACCAGTGTGTATCCCTATTTAATTCTATTGTTTTGTTGCCAAGGAAAGAGAGTCCTTCCTAATGCGACGGCAATCACCTGGGCATAATTGAGAGAGCTGTCAAAGCAAACTACTCCTGCAACTCAGGTAGGCAAAAAAGAAAGAAAGAAAACGCAATGGAAACTCCTCGGAAAATTGAGAAACAACAGAAGCAACAGCAACAGAGGGGAGGAAAAACGATTAAGTGAAAATTGCCATCGCAGAGGGTCAAAGTGGAGTGGGTTGGCGGAAAGAGAGAGCGTGGAAAATGAAACGATAATTGGAGAATAGATGAAGATGATATAGCCAGAGATGAAGAAAATACAATTAAAAGTAGAAGAAGCACATTTACAAGAAGCTAAGTTACTTTTAATAAACACTAAATTGTTACTGAATGAGATCTATGCAGTAGATATGAAAACTAAAAGTATCTAAGATAAGGAATTTAGGGATTTCAGAGAGGAAAGATATAATCTAAACTATAGAATA